CTTCAACGAAATGTCTTTGATTAGTACTTGACAGTGCTGTGACGACACGTTCAAGTGACCCGATGTTCTGTCGATTGTTCTCCTCTCTTGGAAGTCATTTTTATTTTTAATATAACTCCAAATCTTAAGTCTTTTGCGCTTTGTCAATGACCTATTCTTCATACGTATTAACTTGCCTCTCTCTCTCTCTCTCTCTCTCTCTCTCTCTCTCTCTCTCTCTCTCTCCCCTCCCCCGACGTCCCTGTGGGGGTCTACATGAGCAAGCAAACACTGCGAAGTGCGCCTCTCGTTACGTTCTAGGACATAGAGCTCGAGTCTTTCCCGTTGGTTCCGTTAGTCGGTTCCGTGGAGTTCCGTTTGGTTCCGTTGGTCGGAGGTCCTTTTAAGAGTAGCTATTCTGTGACTGGCATGCCAGCTAGAAATTGCTGCGCCGTGGAGTTCCCGTTGGTTCCGTACAGTTCCGTTCTGTTCCGTTAGTAGGTTAAGGGTAATAATATTTAGTTCTCAGCGACGACGATATTTGGTCTCTCACGGCTTTTGCTACTGCCTGATGTCACGGTCGGAGAAGTTACAACACTTAGTCTATCTATAGTCGATCGACAGTCGCCGGTTTTTAGAGGCAATTGGCGCAGGAGGAGGATCATTTGAGACTGTCACATTGAAAGGGGCTATTTTTACAGCTGCGGATGGTAGCAGTCTAGGAGAGATAAGGTTGAATTGCGCTGTCGCTTTCTGGAGGGCGTTGTCCAGGACTCGTTCGCTCGAATGATCGTTTTCTCGAATGATTGGTTGGAGGAGAGGAAAGGAATCGGGATCGGGCAGGGCCGCAGGGGAAGGCAGTAGCAGATAACAGCAATTTCATTGTTAATATCGACTGTTACTTGAAATGACAGGTAGTTATGGAGTAGCAGATGAGTATCAGTGCGATATGCAGCTCTCTCTACCGGCGCAGATGAAACCCATTGGTCCTTTTGTTTCCTTTCCATTTTATTTTCTCAGTATCTGTGTGCAGGTGTGTGTATGTGTGTGTGTTTGTGTGTTTGTGTGTGTGTGTGTGTGTGTGTGTGTGTGTGTGTGAGAGAGAGAGAGAGAGAGAGAGAGAGACACACAGAGAGAGAGAGAGAGAGAGAGAGAGAGAGAGAGAGAGAGAGAGAGAGAGAGAGAGAGAGAGAATTCATTCAACAAGCAAGTCCCTTATGCACCGAACGGCATGAGAGAATGTGTCGTGACCTTTGTAGGAGGGCCCAGAATTGGGAGAGGTGGCGAATATTCGTGACGATTGATGGTATAATTATTGTGTATTCGATGCAGTGAGGGATGGAATGTGTACACACATCTCTGAGCCAATGTTACCTTAGTTTGAACTTTGCTCGAACTTTGTTATAACTGTGTTGGAAGCTGGAACAACTTAGTGGGAAACTTAGTTTTTTTTTGCTGCCGCTGCGGGCCTTCGCTCTGGCTCTGCAATCCATCGCGCTCACAGAGAACGATATCATAATGTTCGTGGCAAATTTTGCAACCCATGTTCTCTTCTCCGTTTTGTGTAGTAAATCAGCCCCACGGCCATAAAGCGAGTAGTAATAGCAGGGTGGACAGCTATCAAAAGGACGCTCTGAGTTCGAGGATTAATATCCATAAAGCTGTCGTCTCTACGGTAGAGAGTTACAGCCAGAACCTGCACATGAACACCAGTTATATACAGATAATAGAGTCCCGAAATTTTAGTGATGGCTAAACGAATAAACGAGGAGGATAAACTGGTATGCTAGGAGGTAACTTGAAACCGGTAACTCCTGATATTATTGACACATACATTTCTGGAGAATTATAGATTAGATAAATAAAGTTAGGATAGGTAAGTATGAAAGCGGGCGATTTGTCCCTGGCAGTTACTGTGGGAGCGACTGTTACACACACACACACACACACACACACACAC